AAAATAAATGCAGCCTTGGTGAGCATAAGAGACTTCAAAAACATTTAAAAAATCCAAACTTTGGAAGAGTAGTGTCTGTGTCTGTGCAAAACTGTGAAAGAGCGGTTGGAAAAGTTTCCTCACCATCTCGTACAGGTGAAAAGATGTCCAAGCTGTTTCGGCCAACTCTGAAGCGGTCTGTGGAGTGCTGGCCTTCCCCTTCCCTCGAGAACACATCTATACTGCCTCCTAAAAACAAGAGTAATGCCAAGCAAACATTTAGCCATGTAATTAACATGCAAAAATCATAATCTCTTGAACTCTGCCATTAATAAAACACTCACCATTTCTTGAAGTTGGAGTATCACTAAAACCACGTGTTTTGAAACCTGTAGAGAGGATGGAAAAGCCCAGAAAGGGACCATAAAAATGAGAAGACAGATGACGATAAAGAAAAAAGAAAAAAACGGTCAATACAGTGATAAAAATGCAAAAGAAGCATCATCAGGGATTTTACCATCATTAAGAGGGGAGAAAATATCCAAGCTGAGGCTGTTCCGACCGATGTTGCTAAATTTCTCCATATTCGGCAGCTGGTCTTGGCTGTGCTGACCCTCCGCCTCACGGGTGAACACCTCTCCAGCAGTACCTACAAAAACAAAACATTCACTACCCATAAAACCTTTACAAAAGCTATAAACAGGGCTTTAAATTCTAACCAAATATGACTGAATAAGGAATAAAATCTTCTATAGCTATAAAAAGGAAGGTGGACCTGTGACTTGGGCTTGTCCATCACCAGGAAATTCAGAGCCTGGCACACCGGGTGGGACTGTAGATGTTGGAGTGGAGGGTCCCGTCTGCTGACCGCCTAGTTTTACTGAGATCCTCTTACTTGATTGAGAAGACTTGCTGGATGTTTTAGTGGACTGTGGAAACAGGGCTGGTTTTTAATATCAACTATAACCAGAGTCCGTTTCAATTATCTTGAACGGTTGAATGTAGGGGCAACATTTTTAAAATCTTCAGATGTTACAAAAATTGTATATAAATAAATAATAAGATACAATAAAAAAAATTATTAAATAAGATTCACAATACATAAAAATGTAAGTAAATTTATTCAATTATTTCATATAAAATGCATGTTACTGCATCTTTAATCATAATTTAAATAATTAATTATTCCTAGAATATATTTTTAAAACTATATCAGACATTACAACAATTATAAGTTAAAAATAGTAATAATTTAAAAAAAGTAATAAAAATGAGAATAATTAAATATTAAAATATTCAATAATTTTACACTAATTAAAATTCTACATGAAATTAATTCAAAGTAATTAATTACTTCATGTCACTGCATGTTACCAATCAATCAATTAAAATATATTCTCAATCTGAACATTTTGAATAATTAACAATTCCTAGAATAGATTTTTTAACTACATCAGATGTTACAAAAACATTTACAATAAGTAAATAAATACATACATACAACTTAAGAAAATAATACAATTTAAAAGAAAAAGAAAACAATTAAAATATAATTAATTCAAACTAATGAAATGACATTTCTAATTTCATATAAAAAGCATTGCATGTTACATGCTTTAATCAATTAAAATATATTCTCAATCTGAACAATTTGCAGAATTTCTAAGCTATGTCAGAAGTTACCAAAAAAATTCAAGAAATAAACAATTAAATAAACAAACGTTTGCATGATATTTTTATCCCCACATTTTGAATGATAAGGAAATGAGTCAGTTTAACAAAAAAACGCTATCTCACATGAAACTGAAGGTGGTTCTGTAGAAATGTGTTTATGTACAAAATAACAGACAGCTGTACCTTTAACTTGGAGGTGGAGTTCTGGAAGCGAATGCAGGTCACTGACGTCTTGTGAGCTGTAGTGATTTTGACCGGTGCGCTGAGGTTTCTCAAATCGTACATATAAATTCTGCCCTGCGTTGAGCCCACAACCAGTCCAGCCCCATCTGGAGTAAAATCAATGGCTGTGAGTGGAGACTCCACCTGCTTATTACGAAACACCCTGTGGGGACAAGCACACACATTAAACTGATTAACAATACAGCTTCGAAATCAAACTCCAGTGTCCAAATTGCATATTAAATGTGATGGTTTCTCTTACATTTTGCTGGAAGTGTCATAACAGACGATCTTCTTATCAAGGCCCACAGTGATGAAGAGCAAATCATTGGCCGGAGAGAAGGCCAGCCCTGAACACGGGGCTTTGTGCGTCCCCTCGAACAAATGCAGCTCCTTTTGAGTGTTAGCATCCCAGAGAGCCACAGAGCCACTGTCAGATACCGTGCCCAGCAGAGACCTCTTCACCAGCGAGTACCTCAGATCATGGATGGGCTGAAGAGACATCACATGTTGTATTTTATATTAGGGCTACCTGATTCATCAAAATGAAACAAAGTCTCTGTGCAGTTTTCCACCAAAATAAAATCTAGATGGCTGAACGTTTTAAAATTAAGAAATTAAGACAGCTGTACTGTAAAATAGAGTAAATTTTTTCTCAAATACTCAATTTCTTTATTTTACAGTGAAATATTCTAATTTACACAAAACTGAACTGTGGACAATTAAAATATGTAGTTTAGTTTAGTTCACTCACTACATTTTGCAAGGCTAAAAAAAAATGTCAAACTCACCTAGGCCTGGGCGATAAAACGGTATCGATATTTATCGA